TCTGCTGGCAAAAGATCCGGCATTATGTTGCTCCTTTTTCTACTCTTCTCGTATGACGAATTCACATACCCGTGCGGTATATCTCTCTACTATAATGATTCGCCAAAAACAATCAAATCCGGCCAATCCTGCGCATCATAGTCAACTACCATCGCAGTGTTGGCCGGATTTTGTTGGCGAGTACAGTCAACTTCGCTAATAATGACTAGGCTCCGGCGGATTATGCTCGCGAAATCACGGAATTATGCTTTCATGGATTCTCGCATTATGCTAGCGAAATCCTCATAATATTATTATGCTTTGGCATGCAGGGATACATACTCACTTTGTTGTACTTATGGAGCCTCAAAGTTCGGAAAATTGTGCCTTTTCGTACTCGCAAATGGCCATTAGTACAACAAAATACATGAATATCCCCATACCAAGATGACCATGCATGCTAGAGATCAACATTACAGTGCATTTCAAAACTATAGACGCGTAGGGTTTTTGAAATATTTCAAATTTGGCTGGAACTTTTTGAGAATAGTTTTCGGAATATTGCTCAGGATCCGCGGCTCCACAATTACTCTCATATAGTTTCTAAAGGATTGGATAACAGACGCCCAATTTGGAAAATTTTATGCACAAAGTGATCACAGATTTTATGTGGTATAGATGCTGGCATAACGGTTTTTGCCTAGGTATACTAGGTACGCGTCTATAGTTTTGAAATGGACTGTAGTTGATTTCTTTTGTATTAAAAGATTTTTTCATTGCCAAATTAGTTTGAGTTACCTTTGAAAATTATCATGTTCATCTGTCTTCGTAATACCCGTCCAACCGATGTCACCCTCACCCTGCGACAAATCAGCTCATCTCTCCCGTAGCTCCACCTCTCCTTACACCATGACCGAACATCAACTATACCTCATTATTTTAATTTATATGAGAACAATAACCATAGCTTGCACAGTCGATGGTCTCGATCCAGCGCGTTTCTCTGCACACCTTTTCGGAAAGGTTGCGAAGTAGTTCGTGAAAATGAAGAAAGTTGCGATTTCTTGCAAAACAAAGGAAAGTTGCGAAAAAGTGGCCAGCATCTTTGGAAAAGTGCTACTCCGAACCCTTTACCATGCGGACCACCAGCACTGATCAGGTGCATTGTAGCTTACAGACTGGAATTGTGGTACAACCATGTAGTTATGCTCCTACATCCGAAAGGTTCCCTCATTATACTCCAAATTTTCAACCTCCAAATTATGCCAATAATTATGCCGGCATAATCCGCCGGTGCCTAATATATAATAATGACTGTGGATAAAACGACAATTCGCGAATAACGACAGAATTTCCATGCCCAGAGCAAAGTCCCACCCAACTGTAATACATAATTATAATGAGACTTCGGGTGTAGCAACACTTCGCGAATAAGGACACTTTTCTGATGCTCCGCCGAGTGTCGTTATAAGCGAAGTTGAGTTATAGCACTACCATGACTACCGGTATGTGTTCTGCTGGGGCTGATGAAGGGAGCAAACTAGTATGTGTTCTGCTGGGGATGATGAAGGGAGCAAAGTAAAAACATGTCACTAACTAGATGTCAGGTTGGTATCTTCACCTGCTGCCTCAGTGCCTGAACCAATGAAGCCGAGTGTGGGCACATCATTGACCAATGCTAGGGACCGGCGGATTCTGCTCGAAAAGGTGGCAGATTCTGCTCGAAAAGCAGTGAAATTGGCAGAACCATACAAACCTTATGGCGGGCAATTCCTCGAATTCTGCTCCATTTCTTTATCCACATACCAAACATGCATGAAACTTACCAGAAAAAGTACCGAATTCTGCCAATTTTTCTGCCGGCAGAATCCGCCGGACCCTAATAATAATAATAATAATACTTCAAATTATCACTCCCTTAGTATTGACTCACATAGATTTTTGCCATACCTAAGCAGTCAAATATTCCTGCATATTTCACTCCTTAGGGCTATATTGACCTCTTATATTTGACTCCTTAGGGGTTGCGCAGTTGAACGGTGCCTAGTGCAGCAGTTTCACTGCATGAGTAGGCCGTGGTGCAACGGTTGTGCAATCATAAAACCGGGATTCATGAGGTTATCGTTCTGGAATTTGAAATACGGACTGTTTGTCGTGATAAATCTAATATTGACTTCGTACTTGGTCAGTATAGGAAATAAAAACCTCGTAAAAGACCTCGGCTTCGCCTCGGTCTTTTACTCGGCTTTTATTTCCTATATTGACCTCGTACTCAGTCAATATTAGATACGTAATAATAATAATAATAATAATAATAATGACGACTACACCATAGCTCAGTGGTTAGAGCATCGCTGGCTACAAGCGAGGGTCCCTGGTTCGAGTCCTGGTGGTGACAGTCAATTTTTTCTTCAGACTTTTCCCGTTTGTCTCTTTCCCTCAAACCAGTTAATATTTTATGACTTGGGGCTCCCCGCGTGCTAGTTTGTACGTGAAGTGTGTGGGTTACAGTGAGGGCTGCGTCCCACCCGCCTGTGTGGATTCACAGGAAGTGTGAGTTACGAAGTCTGAAGAAAACGTTGAACGGTCTCTGCTGGGATGACGACTACACCATAGCTCAGTGGTTAGAGCATCGCTGGCTACAAGCGAGGGTCCCTGGTTCGAGTCCTGGTGGTGACAGTCAATTTTTTCTTCAGACTTTTCCCGTTTGTCTCTTTCCCTCAAACCAGTTAAAATAATAATAATAATAATAGTTACAGTTCGCATGTCACTCATGGAAGGATCCATGGGCTTAACGCATCTGTCAAAGAAATCCAGGCAGAAGAGCCGACAAAAGGCATCTCATTATTGTTAGAACGTATCGCAGTAAGAACAACTACGCAAGCGCAGCACATTTTTCCACAAGCATCAGCCATTTTTTCTTGTCTAGAGCCAGTTCAAAACAGTCAGAAATATCAATATTGGCGTGCTTTAGATCATTTTTAATAATTATTGTCAATCCATCTGAGATGGGGTCAGCCATCCTAGCCAATGAGAAAATATGAAGGAAGCTCACTCGCCAGCGGCGTCATTATCCAGAGCAAAGGGTGTGTCCGACGTTCTGATCCTTCCAAATCCCCCAGTACTAGCCCTTTCCCAAAGGTGCTCCGGTTTAATTCGCACTTAGTGCTTTTCGCGTCCCTCAAAATAATTATGCTGAAAAGTGCTCTTTTTTCAGTGAAAACAGGCAAAAAGTGCTCTTTTTCAGTGAAGGATAGCCATGATAGGGTTTATCGGGTGTTAGCGGCCGTCGTGAGTTCCCTTCGGGAACGGACACGATAATTTACTTTTTTAATTTTTTTATAGCCATGATACATGTTCAGATATGAACCCAAGCTGAGAAATGAATACGCACTCTTCCATTTATGGGTCCACGAAAGGCAAAACAGGAAGTAAAGTTCAAAAAACCCACTTTTACAGCATTCTGTACACCGGGTACAAGCTTCACCAACTTGTCCCCCCCCCCCCCCGAAAATACGGCGTGCCAAGGCCCATCCAGATCCAGCATTCGGAAACTGTGACCGCATGCATGAGCAAACAGATTTTAGCACTTTTTAAGCTAAAAAAGCTCAAAAAGGGGCGATAATCACCAAAAAACGCAATAAAGGGCGAAAGAAACGGGCTTTTCCAAAAAGGGCCAAAAAGGGCGAAAAAGGGCGAGCACCTTTGGGAAAGGGCTACACAGTACTGGTCTGAGCTCGCCCACTTTTGGCCAGTGGTATCCCTGAAGACCCGCTTCATAGTTTTTGGTCAGCCTAAACTGTCCCACACTGTATGCCTGTTCCTGTCAGTTCAGCAACATGGTCCTTTGCATTGTATTCTCCCCAACTGGCCAAGTATTAGTAGTTGCGCTACTAGTTGCCGAGCTCAGCTTTGACTTTATCCTGGCTTCTCTCCTCTCCTGTTGCATACAATTGTGCATGGTCTTTCACAATGCTCTTTTCCCGAGCGATCACGGTGTGATAAACCTCACGATAGGTTGCCAGCCGCCACAACCAGCATTTCGTTCCGGAACTCCTCCGGCCTCTTCTTTGGGCTTACGTTCGCTTGTGTACATGTAGTCTGCTCTTGTGCGACTGAGGTCATTTAGGCTTCAGGGCAATCTTTGCCCGTTCTCTCCATTGACCGGTTTGGCTGATAGAGTTAACTCACAGGACAGCCTCAGCTAGCAAGAACGTGCTGCTATTCACCAAAATCCGATCCAAAACGCCAGTCTCCAAGTCCTATCCACAGTCGAGTGAACGATCAATTACCTTGTTTAAGTAGTTGTCATGACAACGTTATTCTGAGACCAAGTACATAATCATTCATTGATTGTAACCACGTGACTTTACTATACAACTAACGTCGTGAATGACAACAACTCGCACCGCACCGTCTTTTCACATGCCCCGATCTAACGTTAGGTTCGCAAGGGCTTGGGCTGACTGACTTGCAATGGCTACCACCGCTATGGAACATGATTGGAGCCTGTAGTGGGTCTACTAGTAGTACTACATGTACCACCGACCCGTCCTGTACTTCGACATTGTACTTTTGTAGTGATGTGCGTTTTAGCGCAGTGATAATCCTTTCGTTTTGAAAACCCAGGCCAGCCGGCATGCTCGCATGGGCCGGTCGTTGGCCTTTAGACCCCCGGACAGGCGGTCTGACAGGACGGTGACAACCAGCTGACAACATCCGTCGCGCGGGACTTCGGTTGAGTAGTCTCGGCATGCCGCACACATGCCCCTTGGGCTTCACTTCAGCCAAGCAAGCGTTGACTTCAACCTCCTTGGCTTGACTCAGTCTGTAGGGCCGTGAGCTGATCATTGCGATCAGATGGGTGGATGCGATTGAATGGGGACCTTTCGTCGAGCAGTTTTCAAAATCCTCTCCCGAATGCCGCACTCAAAGCAGTGTATGTTCCTCGTATTAGTGCTTGTCCCTGGACAGACGCAAGACAAGCGCTGACAGGCGCTGAGTCGATGATACTAAACAACTGCGAAACTACTCGTATTGCTGCTCACGAGCTCTCATGATCAATTGAATTCTCCCACTCGCTAGCCGAGTCTGATTTTGTGACGAAGGTTTCCCTCGATCGACCGGATCCGCGGACGAAAGTGTAAACTCCATGTTCTTTTTGCTCGATGCAGTTGATGAGGAGCGAGCTGAACATGGTTAGGAAGCTAGGTTCTCACGGCAAACCTCGGCCAGCCTGACGCAGTGCAGGGTCTGCCATGGAAGACCGAAGGTAGCGTCTACGGGAGCTGTGAATAATTCGAGCGTGAAGCGGTTGTTGCTTCTGCAGCCAAAGTCGAAGTCGCATGGACTCGTCGAAGTGAAACGTCGTCATGAAATCTCAGCTCACTTCACCTGACCGGCCGCTAATGCGTGGCCCGACCATCGTGGTTGTGCACGTCGACCAGGAGATCGCAGGCAGGGCTCAGGGTGGCGCAAACACCGCGTCAACCGCTAACAGCACATCGTCCTATTCCTGCTTGGCCAAGCCGGCTGCAGTCGGCTCGGCGACTGGCACTGGCAGCGGTAGCAACATCACAGGCAGCAGTAGCTGCACGACCATCGATGATTGGTATCGCAGGCACGGCGCGCCGCAAGAGGCCGTGTCGAATCGGGTGCTCCGCAGACTCCGGGCCCCGATCAGGGCAGGCGGAGCAGCGTCTACATCCTCCGCATCACTTTCAGCAACAGGCAACATGGTGTCGCGTAGCGAGCCCAGCATACCCCGGGGTAAGAACAGCTACGGGTAGGTTCGCTCTGTCCCTGGAAGATTACACGACGTCGAATGGTGTTGAATGAAAACAAAACACAATCGTCATAGTCAAGTACTCGTAGCATGTTCCACTGTCCGAAGATTGCTCATTGCCCATATAGGGCAGAGCCTTGTTCACAAGAGAGAGATTGGAAGCCGTGTGTGTCTCTCTCTCTAGCTCTCTTGTGAAAACAAAACATTAAAAAAATGTTGAACTCGGATATAGTATTACCCCCCCCCCCTCCCCGGATGGTGGCGAAATACTTCATATGGGCAGTCATGTAGTGTACAGAGCTGCTCAATGAAATCCAGCCGAGTCAATTAAGTTAGTTTGCGCCTTGCATCATTTCGCAGCCCATTGTTCGCAGGTGTAGGGCTAAACAAGGCTGGAGCTTACTTGAGTGGCGCGACTAGGTTTCATTGAGCCGTACTGTGCACTACACGACTGCCCATATGAAGTGTGAAGTCATTGTATATGTAGTGAAGTTAGTTGTTCCAACGAGGAGCACACGCTTCTTGCCGAACTTGACACTTGACTGACTCACGACGGCCGACCATGAATAATGCCGCCGAAGTCGCAACTTCTAAGTTTGTATAATAATATTATTATTATGTAGGACTATTTAATTTCTTGAGTAAAACTTCATTTATTTGAAGAAGAGGTTGGTGCGACTTCGGCGATAGTAGGGGAAGAGTGTGTTGCTCCCTACATGGGAGCTCGCGGTTTTCCTGCGGTGTCAAGTGAGAATTCAAGTCGGCAGGAAAACCGCGAGCTCCCATGTAGGGAGCAACACACTCTTCCAAAACTTCATTTAGCATACATTACGTAACGTAAGTGGTCCTCCAACTAAAGTGCCATACGTAGTATGTAAGGTTCGTCTATGTCCGAAGTATAAATACTACCTGGGATTGCATATGTGGGTCTGCAACACCCCCCCCCCCCCCCACACACACACAACGTTACAACTCGGCCAGACTGAATAGCCGAGGCTCATCTTGCGAGAAAGCATGCTTGGCGTAGTCATATAGAAAAAGGCCTGAGACCTCGCGGTACGAACACCTCCCTTGTTCCTCGAAGACACCTACTCGATGCGAACTTAAAACACTTTAAAAAAAATTGGCCACGCTACAAAGCATTGTGATGTTGATTCTCGAGTCACACGAATGCAAACGTAATACCACTGAAATCAAAGTCTGTGATGGAGTTTAGCTGCCAACATAAGGCATAGACCTTATGCATACGGCGACTTGTCAATCAGTAGTTACCGCTAAAACAAACTGGAGTTTCTCCTCATTGGACGTGCACAGCAGTTGGCCACGAATGTTCCCTTCTGAGTTTCGGAGTCTGAAGAAAATGTTGAATGGCGTCGCTGTTTGGATGACGGCTACACCATAGCTTAGTGGTTAGAGCATTGCTGGCCGTAAGCTAGGGTCCCTGGTTCGACTCCTGGTGGTGACAGTCTTTTTTCTTCAGAATTTTCCCGTTTCCATCTTGTCCTCAGAGCACTGTATGTGTCCTTCAATGTGCACTGTTTCATTCTCTCTTCTGCAGCATTATCACCACATTCGGAGAGCCGCGAGGCAGCGCGCCTCGAGAAATTCGCCAACAAGTCGACGTCAGATCTACTCCAGTGGATCACGGAGAATCGCGCACGCAGCACACTCGGCGAGGCTGAACTGCCACCCAGTGATCTGTTCAAGGTACATTGGAACCCGCTGGATTGTTAACGCCTTTACGAGAAGACGCACAAGACAGTGGTGCTTCCCATGGCCGAAGTGTCTCAATCAAGGCACACAGGCAGACGTGTCCTTGCTTGAGAAGTGCAAGCCCGGGGAGGCTCTATTGTTCACACTTGCCTGTATAACTTCTGTATGTATGTTTGCATGTATGTATGTGGGTAAGTGTGTATGTTGGGGGTAAGGGGGGGGGGGGGTATGCTCACCTGTCCGGTTATTTGCCTGTACATCTCCTTGGCACTGTCCTTGTCCCACAGACACCACTGGTTTGTTTGATAGAATTGATACATCAATCCATTGGAAATTCTCTACTGGCAATGACCTTTATCAGACCTATGTTTAGCCACCACGTCACGACAATGCGTATACTACAGAAACAAAGGAAACACGTCTTTGCTCATGGTCCCGATTTACCCAAACGGGCCTCATACACTGATGGCTTAATTACATACTACTCACAGCATTGCTCTGCACGCGGAGGACTGACGTCAATCATTAATTTCCAGTGGAGAAAATCAATGCAACAATCTCTCCACTCAAGCTCTCCTGCATGCCGAATGTGGTAACGACCGTCAGAAGACTATTAAGTAGAATGCGAATGTGGGTGAGACATTCACACAGACCATGTGAAGCAACCAGTTGAAGAAGTCTACTTTGAAGGGGAGAAAATCAATACTGCCCCGGCACTGCCAAATATCCGCAATCACTGTGATTGTATTCCAATTCGACAATTTTTGCGAGAAGAGCTTGGCGCAAGTATTATTAACCAGCGTGAAATCTCACTTCCAAAATGGTTGTAAAGATGTGGCCACAGTTCTTCGCAAACGTTTGCCATCGCAGACTTCCTGATTCTGAGAAACCACACAATGTTGTTGACGCAAACACTGGCAATTTTGTAGAATAGTGCTGAATGCAGTTGCTGGGCGCAGAGCGCTCACATCCATTCACACGGAAGGCGAATCCCCTCACGGTTTGGTTGCAACTCCGAGTTTCACGCGCTCTTCAGGCACAGAGTTGCGCTCGAGCTCCTGTGTGATTTTGCCTGCATGCACAAGCCCGTGAAGCATAGTGTTCAAGCACGCCAAAAACCTAGGACACTAGGTGTAGACTTGGCTAGAAGGAGCTCATCCTCCCTGTGTGCACTCTACCTACTGAGTTCGAGAATCTCGTGCTAGTCACACCTCTCACCGCACCTAGTCCTGTGCCAAAGCGTAGTGTCACACCTCACAATAGCCAAGTCTACACTCCACTGCGACCTTCATCTGGAAACAAACTTCATAGCTGCCTATGGTCTCGTGTTACAGTCAGTATTGCCTATAGCGTTGGTGTTTGATTTTGAGCATTTTATCACTATAAGCGATATATTACTATGACCGATACTGCATGCAATGTATGCAAGTGGGGTGTCAAATGACTCAGCGCGCCGTGCACATACGCATTACATACATAAACAATGTCATGTAGCTGGCTGTAGCTCCGGACACACAAAATCAGCATTTCCTCATGATGGAGGCATATTTTGGCAACTTGTACAAGCAAAACTCACCAAACAACACTCACTGGACAAGTTCTTCACGAAGAAGTAACACCCTGTTCTTCTCTGACATTGCTTGATTTCACATCAATCACTATAACCGACGCAAAAATAGTGTAATAAAGGTCTTTTGAAATATGAATTTGATCACTATAGGCGATATATTACTATAGACGATTATTACTATACGCGATAACTGTGTATACTTAGTTATGGTAAATGAAAATGAATTTGAGAAATTGATCACTATGTCCGGTATATTACTATAGCCGCCAACCTTATAGGCGATACGGACTGTATATCATGAGATCCACACCTGTAAGCTATACGTGTATAATGCATTGTCGAGCTGACTTTTCTGCATTTGAGGCCTGCGCACCAGGATAATGTGTACCTGTATGTCATAACAGGTTGACTCTTTAGAACGATTCGCACTGTTCTGTCTAACTCTCTCGTGCTCAGTTAGTTTGGATGCTGGTTTAGTCTTTTCTATTGCCTAAGCTGCATGCTTGGACCAGAGCCACCTCCTTGGGCGCGGGGAGCTTGTAATATGGTTAGGGACAGTGGGATGGGAGGAGGCAACCAGGAATAATGTTGAAAATTGAAGAGGTTTATTAAAAGGAGGTGGTATTTGAATCCCCGTGGCTGTTCTGGTAGGCAATGTTCATACAATCAATTTGTCTGCTCCTCTTGTCGTTTGCAGAAGCGCTTCTACGACGAGACAAAGTTCTTGTCGTTCGTACACCAGCCATGTGTCACCAGTGACAAGGCAGAGACCACGCGTCACTCATGGCCGGTAAGGTGATCATTTCCGGGCATACACAGCATGCATGAGCAAAACAAATACTTTCTTTTGAAGTACTGTAAAAGTTGAGTCTCAAACGGGGCACAACGACTAACGTTTTTACAAGGAAGAATCCATCGCTAACTCAAGAAACGTTATACGTATGGTATTCCTTCTCTCCTCTGCACTAGAGATATGGAAGACAGGCGTGTGATGGCAGGGTTTGTGCCCACCATTAAAGTGGGACAATTTTTTGCAAATTGTGAAGCTTCAGACACATCACACTTCCAACTCGTACGGTAGCTGTTGTGGAAGGGAACTCGAGCATGACCGACGAAGAGGATCTTGCTGGTCAAATTTCAGAGATATCCGAGCAATACGTATACATGTACAGACCTGAGTATCACTTCCATGCTGTTCAATGCAATCCTGGCCTTGTGAGTTGGCGCTTGTGCAGGGCACTGTCCACTAGTTTGTACCCCAGGTGCTGTGTAGTCCCAGACCTGCTAACACTATAGGCAATGTAATGGAGCATGGAATAGCACCTGCGGGATATTTTGCAGTCATGGACCCGGAGCTCAGTGAACAGGACTGGATTGTCACCGGGTGCGTATCCTTCACAGGCAATGATCAGTCCACTGCATGTACATGTATGCTCATCTTACTTGTGTTTTGTTGCAGCCAACCTCGTTGACGTCCACCGCCGACGTGCCGCCTCGAAAGGTAAGAGCCTGAGTGTCATGTCCTGTATTGACAAGACTCGATTTCGGGTCACGGTTGAATCTGGTTAAACGACTAGCTACCGCATCGTGGTCTCTGCAGGGACACTTTTGTTCGGTACGCGCAGAGTGTGTTGAACCACTCCGATTTCAGGCGCCAACACCCGCTATGTGTGTCCTATTTACAGTAAAACCTGTCGAGGCGACCACCTGTCCCAGAGGACCACTGCAACAAGGACCAATGAGTATGTCTAGTCAAATGACCCTGGATAAGGAGACCACCTGGTTACAGTGGCCACACTTTGAAGGTCCCTTGAGTGGTCGTCTTAGACAGGCTTTACTGTACATGCTACTTCAAAGTATGTGCTCAGTGCTCTGTCCAAGGCACAGCACTTAGAGTGTTGGCTCATGTGCTGGCGCGAACGCCTTACGTGTATTATTAAAGGACGGTGGGGAGCAAAACATGGGTAAGAGTTAATTTTTCCAAAAACAATTATTCCTGTCAGTTGTCACTTTGCTCGCCAGCTGCTTGAACTGAACCGCACAACAAGTGTGGGAACGAAGCTCAACAAGATGCTATCGCCGCCGGTTGATGGATGAAGCACAGCGGGAACGCACTCGACAGAAGCACTTTTTAATCCTGTCTTTTCTCAATAGAAAGTTCCAAAACCCCAACGACATGTTTTAGCTGGCCGTGGCCCATACAACCGATTAACCGGTACTGCAGTGCTGTTTCAACCCTAACCGTAACTATTCTTAATTGTACTTATTGTCTTGATTTCTGCCCGCTGTCAGAAGAAGAGCAATGCTCGTCAGGCAAGTCAGCGGGATGATCACCATGGTGACAAAGATGGCGATGTGGCGGCTGGTGATGCTGCTCCTCGACGTGCAGGGCAGGGTCGACGGGCCAAGCGACACAAGAACAAAGTGGAGCAACTCAAACGGTGAGTACTGAGTTGTACAGACTACTCGTTCAGTGCAATGCTCTACTGGAAATGATGTAAAGCTTGGTGGTACACGAATGCTTGGTTGTACATGATGTAATGCTTGGTTGTACATGATGTACTGTTTGGTTGTTCATGATGTACTGTTTGGTTGTTCATGATGTAATGCTTGGTTATACACGATGTAATGATTGTCAGCAAATAATGAAATGCTTGGCTATACAATGTCATGATCTATTGCTCGGCTAGGCTTTTCCACATTACGGTCCACATACATGTAGTACACATGATGCAGTGATCGACTATGTACATGTGTGTGATGTAATGCTAGGCTGTACTGATGTATTCCTTGACTCATACCCAGACTGGGAATACTAATGCGAGATAGTGACGACGGCTGTAGCTCACGTGATGATACCATGGAGAGCAGTAGCTTTGGGTCGGATAACTCCGTGTCCCTCAACGCCCGGTGTCTGCGGCCACCCATCGTACGGAGCATGGTCATGGACGGACCTTCCGCTGCTGGTAAGGCGAGGTGGTGGGGTGGACAGGTAGAGTGCTGTGCGTGTGTGTGTTTGTAGGGGGGAGGGGGGGGGGGGGAGGGGGGGGGGTGCGTGCATATGGTTTTGGAGCCTGGATATTGGGTGGAGGATATTAGTGTTGGTGGCTTAGAGAGTATTTGTGATGCTGGGTTGGAGAGTGCATGTGTGGTTGGTGCTGGCACAGAAACAGTTCCAGGAATACTGTGCCCCCCCCCCCCCCCCTGCACTAGTCAATGTCCTCTCTCTCCAATACAAGTTATAATCCGTTCATCCGAAAGTACTAATCTAACAGTTTTGTTGTCTCCCACGTCTAGTTTGTTGGATGAAACGGCCAGTAGTTGTAGATATCCGGTAAGCATCCATACATCCTGCATTGCGTGACCCCGTGCAATTCATCTCTGCCGCGTTTGAGGCCGGAAATCTCCAAGGATAGGGAATTAGAAATTCTGCCAGGTTTTACCGAATTAGGACAGATACATGTATGCCGTGGCCCAGTGACTGGAGAAGATGATCTCAAACCCAGATTTTCGGATTGAAAGCGATTTGTTCGAGCCTCCATTCAACCAAAATGGGGCTTTCAAAAGCAAGCTCACAATTTGGGAATGAATTGACTGTAGTGCTTGTAATCCCCAGATAGAAGAACGAGCAGTTGTTTTTCGTAACTCTGAGTTTCACTAACTTAATCGTTCATCAGACAAAAATAGAGTGTATAGAGTGTGTA